AACACTGGGGGTATGGAATAACATCTTTTCAATTCAGGGGTCCGTTTGCGAAATATTTAGCCTTAAAGTGGTATTTTTCGTTAGAGTTATGTCCCTCCCCCCTCTACCAACTAAGCCGCTGTTTATGAAAATGTGATAAGTATACACAATAGTAGTATATATAATGAAGTTAATAGGAAAACTATCACAGTTGAGTAGAGTTAAGAAGTTAACGACTAATACTCGACCAACTTATAAAATGCAGTTGGTTTAGAAAAAAAGTTGTTACAACTCCGTAGATAATGACCTAAACCTAGGTTAGGTTTAGGTCATTTTCTATGGAGCACTTGGCCAGTTTTGTTATACTTATACACAAGAATTTGTTTTGAATTTTACTCCATCTGAAATGTAGCACAAAATTTTCAAAAAATAAAACTAATGTACGGGCTCAATCTTCTAACGTAACAACTCTATAAAGTACTGCGTTTAGTTATTATATGTAATGAATGAACAATTTAGAAGGCGGCGAAAATTATGCGTAAGTTAAAGTGAAGGACGACTGCCTGGTGGCTAAGCGCCAATAAGGGATATTGGGCTGAATTGAGATTTGAACGCGGCACCACATTATCAGTATTAGCGTTTACAACCACTAGACTAACGTTGAGCTCAAAAGATATTAATATTTTGACGATTTAGATATGTAGACGTAACGCGTGTTAACCATATCTATATAATAATAATAATCCCTTTTGAATAAGTTAGAACGCCTCCTCAACAAATGTTTGAGATTCATTTACGGCTTACGTAAGTATGATTACCCACATTTGCTATTACCATTCCCAGCTTAAATGCTTTTGTCAGAGGCGTAGCTCCCGAATTCAACTGGTACTATATTAGATTTTAAATGATATAAATTCTACTTCTTATCTAAAGAATAAATTTCAATACTTATCTTTATTCTACTTTTAACCGAGTATTTAGTTAGTTTCGTTCCCACAACAGTCTTAAAATACATAGATATTCCACAATTATCTATAATTATTTTTACTCTACAGTCTGTTACTATTTTAGAACGCCGTTTATGTTTATATAAAAAAGCTGTATAAGAACTATTTTGAAACGTGTTACATATATCAAAACCGCGAATTACGCGGCCAACTCATTTTCCCACACAACATTTCAACATTGCTTCCACGAGGCAGTTTTGCTGACTTGATGGGAAACTCGGTCGCCGTGGACTCACAATGACGCACACGATGTCAACCGACATAGCACCTTTACAAGAAACCTAATGCAGCGAGGCAATTCTGCTAACCGGGTGGAAAGTGTAGCTGCCGTGGATTCACAGTGACGCCCGCGGCGTCATACGACAGCATTATATATACGGAACTCCACGATGCCACTTCACTTCGTTCCTAACATCGGGCGGTGTGTTGGTTTAATTAGATTTAATTAGTATTACTTCTTTTAATACTACACTTCGTTTCTAACATCGGGCGGGGTGTAGATTTAATAAGTATTAGTTATTTTAATTCTAATATCTTTTAAATTAAACTTAATAAAAGCAATTTTGATTTTTTTTGGGTCCTCCGGCGGCGACATCCATAATTAACGCTAATTCGAGAACAAAATAAAAAAGAGAAGATGGCTAGGGCCTACTATTTGCCTAAGACCCCATAATTAATAAAATTAAATCAAGACCCAAACAAACTACTGGATTTCAAGACACTGTAAGCTTGATCTGCGTAGACTGGACCAAAAATTAATGTTTAAAAGTTGAAGTTAGCCGTCGTTAACTGTGACATCGAGACGCCAAACAAAACGCCCGAACCGAAATTATATTAAAATTAAACACGATAAAACCCGTAAAAGTTTTACTCGATGTGTACTATTGACACATTATAAATAAATATTTTCTTCGAATATCAACTTGCAGCCTGCCTGATTGATGGCAGGAAACTATAGCCAAGTACAACAGACTGTTGATGGGTACAGCATTACCAGTGCGAGGATCTCGGATCTTTGCTAACTAAGTTTCATCTAATCACATAGATGCGGAGAATAATATACGGAATATATACGGACAATAAACAAACAGAGTATAGAGCTTTCGAAAACTATTTCCAGCAGTGAAACCTAAAAGGAAGCCCAAATGTATATTTAAGAATTTATTAAAACTTGTATTATTTTGAGATGTTTACTTATCTCAAAACAGTACAAGGTTTATATAAATAGTCTTAGCTCAAAAATTATCTACCGAACAATAAGTAACTTTTGAAAGTTGCATCAATATCCGTTCGTCCTGTAAACGCATCACATGGGAATTATGTGCCTTTCCATCTGGATGAACAAACGCATAAAATAACAAAAATCACTGTTTTAATTTATATACCGGTACTGTCATATTTGTTCTCTCGAAAATGATAAACTGATAGTAAAATTCAATATATTATAATGTTCAAAGAGAAGTTCGACGTTTTTCTTATTGCTTAACAAGTTATTATTAAGCAACTAGCTGTGCCCGCGGCGTAGCTCGCGTATATAGGTTTTACATAAAGAATTTGTCGTTTAGGTAAGAGAATATTAAAGGATCTATATCATTACTGTATTAATAAGTGGTAACAAAATAAATCATTATCATCAATGTTCTAAGTCGTTTATGATAGAGCTTCTGTGTAAACGACGTTAGAAGTAGACTTAGCCGGGGTGTACACAAAAAGGTTACGGGGGCTACTAACGTGGGAAAAAGCAACATAGAGTTGGCCATGTGCAAAACAGTCAGTACTGAGGTGCACTCCTACAACGCGTAAAGTTTGACCTTGCGCTTTATTTACGGTCATCGCATAACACACGCTGACTATGACTGGGAACTGAACGCGCTTAAAACTGAAAGGAAAATTATTTCTTAATAGAGGAATTTTGGGCAGTGCTGCCAGATCAAAAACTCATTCAGCGCTAGGACAACACAAAAAGTGCTAGATTTCATGAAAACAGCGCTTTAAAAAGCCCTAGATTTCGCGCTAAATTAAGTACAAACAAAGTTTGTGTTTTTATTATAATTTATAATTCAAGAAAATAGGGGGTCATTGTAGAAGCGTGCTCGTCGCGACCCCTGCCAGCCCTTTTCAGGACTGCAATTCTGCTCAGCTGCGCACCCATGCCAACGAGGGTTAGGGCGTCCCCCCAAGGCGACGCACACCAGCTCGTCCCCGTTTGTGTGGAATGCAGCGCACAAAGCGGCGATAGGGACCGCCACCCGTCACGCACAGCCCGACACGGCGGAAGGTGGAGGACAGAGTGCCGAGTTGGCACGTGGAATGTTAGAGGAGGCATGAGAGATAAGACGAATGAGTTGATCGAAACAATGAAAGAAAGAGAATTAGATGTCGTGTGTATGTCGGAGACCAAACGGAAGGGCAGTGGTACTGAAGAGCTCCCTGGCGGGGCGTTAGCTCTATGGTCCGGAGTCCCGGAGAGCGAGAACGCCTGCCAGGGAGTGGGGGTGCTGCTGTCTTCTCGGTTGGTCGACGTTATGACTGAATATAAGTTTGTGAACTCAAGACTTCTCTGGGTTCGCTTTAAATTGGGACTGACGAAGTTATTCCTTTTGGCTGTTTATGCGCCGGTAGCTTCGTCGTCCAGGGCTGAGCTGGAGGAGTTTTGGGAGAATGTAAGAGAAGTTCTAGATTTGGCTAAGGGAAACGAAAGAATTGTTGTATGTGGTGATTTGAATGGATGGGTTGGTACCGCTCGACCAGGGTACGAGTCGGTACTTGGAAAGTTTGGCGATAAAAGGGTTAATGATGCTGGCAAGCTTATACTGGCGGTATGCAAGGAAAAGGGTCTTCTTGTGACAAACACTATGTTTAATCACAAGAAAATCCATATGTATACTAGAGAAAGAAAGAATGAGAGAAGTATGATCGATTTGTTCCTGGTGGATGACCGACTGCGAAAACAGGTTATGGATACGCGAGTGTTCAGGGGTGCTGACCTGGGAACGGATCACTATCTAGTGATTACTAGATTTAGGGGTCTGTTCGCGGGTTGGCGCTACCGGACGGCAGTGACAGAACCACAGTCGGTCTGTCGCATCCGAAGCTGGAAGCTTCAGGAAGCGGATACTAGGGACAAATATCATGCGAGGGTAGCCGAAAAGCTTGACACCATCGATGGCAGAAACGAATGTGTAGAAAGAACATGGCAAAACCTTAGGGATGGAATGGTAAGTGCAGCGGAAGAAGTGTGTGGAACAATAAAAAAAAGCAGTAGTAAAAGAAGAGATGCATGGTGGAATGATGAAGTGAAAGAAGCTGAAAAGAAGAAGAAGAAAGCATGGTTAGACTACTTGGCCTCTAGTAATGATAAGGATATGAGAGAGAAGATGAAAGAAAGATATAGGCTTCAGAAAGTTCACACGAAAGCATTGATTGAGGAAGTGCGTGAAAGGTGTAGAATGGAAGCGGACGAAAGGTTGTCGCACAACTTTAAGGAGAACTCCAAACTCTTCTGGAAAGAGGTTGGAAGGACCCGGAGTGGTGCGACGGCCTTAAGAATGAACAAAGTGCTTTCGAGAACTAATGACGTCCTCTCAGAAAAATCGGACGTCATGCAGCGATGGAGCGAATTTTATAGAGAAATGTATGCGTGTGATGATCTTAGTGAGGGATCCGGGGATGACGCCGTGACTGGTACGCCAGACCCGGACCTCGATGACACTGAGGTCATCAATATGAAAGAGATTGAACGTGCGATTCGAAGTTTGAAATGTGGTAAGGCTGCGGGACTAGACAGAGTTACTGCTGAAATGGTCAAGTATGGGTGGGCCTCGCGTCTGGGACAGCTTTCATCTGCTGTGCAATTTGTGCTGGCGGACGGGGGATGTCCCGGATGATTGGCGATCCGCAGTCATTGTGCCTTTATATAAAGGTAAAGGTTCACATTTTGACTGCGGGTGCTATCGGGCGATCAGCTTGACCAGCTTAGCAAGTAAAGTTTACTCGAAGGTTTTGACACGTAGGATGCAAGAGAAATCGGAAAGATTTCTATGGGAGGCACAATGCGGATTTAGACCTGGAAGAGGATGCACGGATCAAATGTTTTCTCTCCGCATGATCACGGAAAAGCTTCTGGCTGCTAACCAGAAGATTTTCTGTGCTTTTGTGGATCTTGAGAAAGCATTTGATAAGGTTGTAAGGAAGAAAATGTGGGAACTGTTGCCGGGGTATGGTGTGGATGGTCGATTGCTAAGGGCTGTGCAGTCTCTTTACTGTGACTGTAAAGCCTGTGTGCGGGTAGGGCATGACCTGTCACCCATGTTTAGCGTCCAAACGCGCGTAAAACAGGGTTGTGTCATGTCTTCCTGGCTGTTCATACTGTATCTCGACAGTTGTTTACAAAAGCTGAAAGATAGCTGTTTGGGTGTGAAATTGGGTGACATAAAAGTAAATTGTCTGGTGTATGCTGATGATGCAATGCTTATTGCACCATCAGAGGCAGAACTGCAGACATTAGTCACGTGTATAAAAGAGGAATGTGAAATTAAAGGTCTCCGTTTGAACGCTAATAAAACTAAGGTTCTGGTATTTGAAAGGGACGAAGAGAGAACGAAGTGTGAAATATGGGTAAATCAGGAATGTCTAGAACAAGTAAATGAAATTGTATACTTGGGGAGTGCTTTTAGCCGGGATGGAAGATGTGATTTAGATGTGGACAGGCGTGTCGCTGCCGGGAACAAAGTCAATGGTGCCCTGACTGCGTTAGTCAAAAGGCAAGGCGTAGTGAAGAGTGCACGCCTTGCAATACATAACGCAGTGTTGGTACCGACTTTGTTATATGGCAGCGAAACCTGGGTATGCCAGAAGAAGCACAAAAGCAAGTTGAATGCAGTGGAGATGCGATCTCTTCGTAAAATGTGCGGCGTTACCATGGCCGACCGAAAGCGAAACGAAGAGATTCGCAATATGGCAGGTTTGAAAGATGACCTTATCACAAAAATTGATAAGGGCGTGCTTCGGTGGTTTGGGCACGTTGAGCGAATGAGTGAAGACCGAATGGTGAAGAAAATATATAATAAAAAAAAAGTTAATATTAAAAGGTGTCGAGGTAGACCGAGACTAACTTTCGAAGACCATGTGAGCAAATTGCTCGAAGAGGGTAGGGTCAAGAGTACTCGGATACCTAGACGTGCATGTATGAAGAAGTCAATGAATCTGAAAGAAGCGAAAGAGGTATGTAAGGATCGTGACACTTGGCGATCTGTTCTCTCTGGCTACCCCGTCAGGGATTGTGCGTGAAGATAAATAAAATAATAAAATAAGAAAATATAATCATAATAAAGAAAACAACATTAAGTGTTTTTCTGGCAATATATTTTGATGTATCAATACTTCGCAGGACATCGACTTCGATTTTATGGCAATGATCATCCTAAAAGGGGGCGCCGGGAGATCCATAGCATAGGGTATCTTAGTTTGGACTCGTTTCCCATGCTCTTTGTTTTGTGAAAAAGATAAACTGCAATGTACTATTTGTGTGAAAAAATAATAAAGGTCATTATTATTATTATCGGTAATGTGGACTAACAGTGCTGCTATAAAAGAGTTAGATAACCCACTAGTCGCTACAATTTTGATAAATATGTGTTAAATACACCAAAAAGCGCTGGATTAAGCGTTGGGTTAAGCGCTAGGTGCTAAAATTTGGAAACGCGCGCTATACATTCCAAAAAAGCGCTAGATCAAAGTTCACAAAGCGCTAAAATAGCAGCACTGATTTTGCGTATATTATAAATAGAATATCACGACATTTCGTTGCAATTTTGTTACTTTTGGTCGGTTTCCGTTGCATTGCTTCGGTAGATACAAATTTCTTCAGTAAGTCTCAATACGATTCACCGGCGGAGAATCTCAACACCGCAATTCAGAAAAGGTTGTAATTTGTACAACTCCATCTATTACGGCATTTGTGTGAGAAAACATCCTTTTTTAATCTCTTTTTGTGTTTTAAGTATAAATACATTAATTATTAAGGAACGTTTTTTTACACACAAATCTTTTTTTACTATTTCTGAGATTTTATGGCGCCATTGAACAAATTCGAACCTGCATTTCAAATTAATAATTATTACTTTCGATAGAATTAACCAATTTTAATAAATCAAAGATTAAATGTAACTCGAAGATACGCTTTATGATTTTCTTAATGATTTTTTTGAAAAAAAAAGATGTTTGCTTTAGACGTGATGCGTTCATGAAAAAACAGACAAACTGACAGACAATTCTAAAAATTATAAAAATGTACTTATTTAATTATTTTCAGTTCCCCATAATGATTTTAGCCACAAAAATATAATATACAATAGAAAGAAATAGACATTTTTTTTATAGGAAAGGGGGCAAACGAGCATGCGGCTCACCTGATGGTAAGTGACTACCGCCGCCCATGAACAATCGCAACACCAGGGGAACCATGGGAATTGCATATGCGTCGCCGGCCTTTTAAAAAGGAGTAGGCTCTTTTCTTGAAGGTCTCTAAATCGTATCGGTCCGGAAAAATCACTTATGGTAATCGATTCCACAAGGAAGTTGTGCGAGGAAGAAAACATCTTCTAAATCGCACAGTGGTGGAACGCCAATCATCCAAATGGTGTGGATGGTATCGGGAGTTCTACCGCAATGTGCGTTCGTGAAATTTGGCGGCTGGGATTAATCCGAACAATTCCTCAGAGCACTCCCCGTGGTAGATGCGACGGAAAATGCAAAGGGATGCAACATCTCTTCGCAGTGCCAAAGAATTGAGCCGATCGGAAAGGACTCGGTCGTCAACGATTCGAGCCGCTCTGCGCTGGATGCGGTCAAGTGGAAGGAGTTGGCACTGGGAAGCCCCTGCCCAGAGACGGGAACAGTATTCCATGTGAGGCTGAACCTGCGCCTTGTAAAGTGGCAGACGTTGTGCCGGCATGAAATACTGTCCCACTCTGCTGAGCACGCCAAGCTTTTTAGAGGCCAATTTGGCCTTCTCTTCCAAGTGACCACGAAACTGCACGTCACTCGATATGTCGACTCCGAGGATTCCGATACTGGCTGAGGCAAGAAGGGGAGTGCCTTGAAACTGAGGAAATACGACAAAGGGGTTCTTTTTAGCGGTAAACGCGCAAACTTGTGTCTTCTGAGGATTAAACTGGACTAAATTTAGTCGCCCCCAATCTGAGACTTTGTTCAGCAAAGACTCGACTTCAGACACAAGTTTGTTCCGGTACTCAGCGACGTTTTCCCGAGAAATATTGGCACGGCCGGTGTATAAAGCATCACCAGTGCTGTCATCTGCATAGCAATGAATGTTACCAGTTAGCAACATATAATTGATATGCAGAAGAAACAGCGTTGGTGATAGCACACAGCTTTGTGGAATACCAGCGTTAATAGGCTTGTAGTCGGAGCATGCACCGTCTACAACGACCTTGATGCTCCGATCTGCAAGAAAGCTGGTGATCCAATTGCACAATTTCTCGGGAAGCCCATAGGAAGGGAGCTTCGAAAGAAGCGCTTTGTGCCAAACCCGATCGAAGGCCTTCGCAATGTCCAAACTAACGGCCAACGCCTCCCCCTAGGACTCTACTGCCTCCGCCCATCTATGGGTCTGGTAAACCAGAAGATCACCAGCTGATCGACCCCGACGAAAATCATATTTGCGGTCACTAATCAGCTGGTGATCCTCAAGGTACCGCATGAGCTGGCAGTTAATAATGGATACCATTATTTTGGAGAACAAGGAGATGATGGCGATAGGCCTATAGTTGGACGGGTCTGAGCGGTCGCCTTTTTTAGGGATCGGGTGGACAAAAGCTGTCTTCCATGAATTCGGGACTACGCCTTGGGAGTAGGAGTACCGGAAAAGACGCGTTAGGACCGGTGTCAACTTTGAACCACACGTCCTCAGCACAATTGGGGGGATTCCGTCAGGCCCACTCGACTTCTGGATGTCCAGGGAGAGGAGTGCTTAGCGAACCGAGCGCTGTGAGAACAGCACATCCGGCATGGAGCACTCACACCGCGGGATGGTCGGCGGTGTTTTCATAACATGTTATCATCATTTTTATTATATGTATATATTTAAAGAGAGATGGCGCTGCTAACATCAATTCTAAAAATAAAAGAGTTTATTTGATGCGATTGATACATTATATAAAACGTAAAAGAACTTATAAATCAGTGCCTGCACAGTAAGCAAAAAATAAAGTTTGATCCTCGCCAAAACCAACGCAATTGTTAATAGCTCTTTTAAAATTTGATTTACCACATAGAGTACTCGGCGGTAAAGGATGAATTGATTTTGTCAACACGCCGTAGGGCAGCAAGTAATATAAAGATTAGCAGTAAATACCTATGAAAACTCAACTACAGGAAAAAACCGCAACCTGCCTTTTTGCATTATATTTATTTTTATTTTATTTATTTACACTTTATTGCACCTTAATTAAAGGATTACAAAGGGCGGACTTAATGCCTTTAGGCATTCTCTCCCAGTCAACCCGGGACGTGTGGAAATTAGGTGATAGGTGACAAAATAAAATGAACAATAGAGTAAATCAAGGGAAAAAAAAACTACTGATAAACTTAAAAATAAACTAATATTATATATATAAATACAATAAACTTATATACTATAAAATATAATACAGACAATATATTATATTTACATACAAATATATAGGTACATAAATATATACATATTATAAATACAAATAGATATATAACATAAACCTATAAATAAAATAACAACAAAGGTAACCAAATTGATTATTATATATTTGCACAACACCACCATCTATCGATGAAATTGGTTAACTATTGTACATTTAGATTTAGTTAATAAGGTTAATATATTTTTGTATAATATATTTAATACGTTCTTTAATACTTTTGTTTACTTCCTTTTAGATATACATAATTATATCATTATAGAACATTATTTTACATCATTTAATTATGATTTATGATATGATATTATCTATATATTTACTGTGATATTAGTTTAAAATGCACTTGATGACTCAACTAAAGCCACCGTTGAGCAAATTCGTACCTATACTAGGCGTAGCCAGACCATGCCTTCATAGCTCGCTGAATGACCTGGAGCTAATAATCCTAATACTGCCAGCAGTGAAGAGCCACACAGTTCCATAAAACTATGAATTAACCCGAATATAAGCTTAAGGCTCTCGACATAAGACAAGTACTTATAAATCGCAATTTTATATGCGAACTAGCGACCTCCTGCGACTTCGCTCGCGTGTAAAGGGAAATTACGACAATTTTGATAAATTCTATGTATTGGGAATTTCGCAAAATTCCAAAAACAGTTATCACTTATTAGTGATTATGTGTGTGATATTTATAGTTATACGAAAATAAGGCAACTTTAAAGCGAAGATATAAATCTTTTTTCTTTCCTATTCGGTTGCAATTTCGAATTTAAAATCTCAAATAATTGTAGTTACGTAAATATGGCAACTTTAAAGTAAAAAGATAAATCGTCTTTATTCTCGATCCCGTAGGAATTTCGAAAAATCCTTCCTTGTCTTAATTATAAAGGAAATTTCATTGAAAATTTCAGTTTTCTAGGTCCAAGTCAGTGAGTGATTGCCTCGTTGGTGATGTGAAGATTTTTGACCCGACCAGGGTTCGAATCCCAGATTGTGTCAAAAAATTGATTATTGAGATTTTCTATCAAGTAATTCTTAGTAGCACGCCGGAGTTTGAATTTGGCGGTGTTTCAACCCTGTGCCTCGGAAATCACGTAAAACTGTTGGTTCTGCGCCTGATCTCCCTCAAATTGCGTTGGTTTGCCATTCATTCGGACTATGAGAGTGAGAGAATAGAAAGTGCACCTGTATTTGTGCAGGAGGCCAGGTGCCGATGGCTAGTCTCTGTTGAGGCTGACCGCCGTGATCGTAATTCGGTCTGAAGGACATTATTACAGGAAGTGAACTATCGGAGAAATTATGAATTCGTTAACACGTATTGGGGTAGTACGGACAAACTCATTCGTGTTGCAAAACACTTAAAAATGAATGGTGTTCTTTGCCTTTATTTTAGTAACAAGCACTGAATAGTTTAATTAATATAGCATATTCAGGTCACGCAAGAAGAATTGACGTAACTACCGAGTTGGGCACTTTGCCAAAACCAATAGCACCTCTGTCACTATACACATATCAGCTCGTTCATTCTGAAGTTGAATATACCCGTTTTTGCTATGATTTTTTTTTAAATAAGGCCGTGGTGCCTAGCTAGCTAACCACTTACCGCAAATTTTCACGCTCACGTTCTATGTGTGTTTAACGTTAGCTTTTCTTTGTTGTGTTCGTCTGTAAGTGGTTTTACACAGTATCGAAAGAAAGCAAATGTATTTATTTACCAGACAGGCGTACACATATTATAGTTTATCGTATTGGCTATTGTTATATTGCTTGTAAAACAACTTAACAACTGCTGATGAACTGCTAATGATTATTATTAAAAAAGGAAAATTTAAAAAAGTAAAAATTTAATTTCATGTGAAATATGTAACATTAATTTTATTCCATTCATATGTTTGGATTATTTTTATTAAAAGAATGAATAATTCGGTATGTAAATTTGTAGTTGTCGTTTTTATATTTTTTTAATAATCATCATCATCATCATTACAGCCCTTCACAAGTCCACTGCTGAACATAGGCCTCCCCCAAAGAATGCCACAAAGCACGGTCCTGAGCCATCTGCATTACCAGGTCGTCACTCCATCTCGTGGGGGGACGCCCTACACTTCGCCTACGGGTACGAGGCCGCCACTCGAGAACCTTTCTTCCCCATCGGTTGTCGGTTCTTCGAGCTATATAGCTATATTTAATAAAGACGCTAGTAATTTATTTATTTGTATTTATGTGTATCTGATCGAGATGGACAACCGTGTCTTTCGCGGAATAAAAATGACTGAAAAATTATTTATGACATATTAAAATAAAATAATTGAGCCATCATTATGACCATGATAATGATAATGATGATGCGTTGAAATAATTTTAATTGAATACCTCGTAAATTATAGCAAATTTTAAAAAGTCTTTAGTGATAGCACACAATCACTTGTTAGTGATTGCTAATGTTTGTCCATAAAATCTGCACGTTATTGAGAACAGAGCTAAAATAGCTAAATAACACAGAACACAGTAAAGGTAAATTTGTGTTTTCCTATCGGGAAACTATTATGTTAATAATGTTTTGAAGAATTGATGCAGTAGCTCAGGGGCTAAGTAAATGTTAAGTGAGGGTTAAATGTCACAGCACGCGGCCAACTCGGTTTCGATCTCCGCCTACATTAATGAAATTGATGGTGTGCTCGGCAGGAAAGAAAAAGTAATTATAGGAGGCCTGTGCCCAGGAGTGGGACGTATATATTGGCTGTAACTTTACGCTTTGTAATTAAAAAAAAATACAGCACGTAGAATGATAATAAATTAACATAAAATATCCTTGTTTGTGAACTTGATTTAATATTGTAAATTCAATTTTACTTTGCGTGAATTTTCTTTGTTCGCAGGCTTAAGGACAACGTGGAACGAGCGTATCGGAAGCAGTTCGTTAAATATTTAAAGGCTGAAATTTTATCACAAGTAGGACATTTAGATTCTTTTTATTACGATTTTAGTTTGATTTTCCTTTATTTGCATTTTAGCAGAAATTAATAAAAATAAGACCTTTAAATATTTGTAATTTGATACTATATTATATTTAATGTAATGAAAAGATAAATGAAACATTTTTAATTCAACTTAAATTTAAATAATTTTGTATATAGAAACAATCTGCACAGATGTTGCTGCGTAAGGCAGGATTTTATAAGAACTGCAGGACACGGAGAGATCACAATATACTGGGACTTATAAGTCTTCCTGGGCAACCCGGGTTCGATCCCCGCCGTCACCAACGAAATTGCTAATTTCAATTTTTAGTCTTGATTTACCACGTGCTTGGTGGTGAAGAAGACCTCGTAAGGAAACCTACATGTCTGAGAAAGAAGAAAAAAATTATTTCAAAGACATGTGAGGCTGGGCACAGGCCTGCTTTCAGAAATGAAAGGAGGCCTGTGCCCAGCAGTGGTACGTATATAACAAGCAAACTTGTTTTATAGCTTTTATTTTTATGTGGGACTTAATAATAAAAAAGAATTTGAGAAGTATGTTACTTGCCTAACATTTCGTAAAAAGCGACTAATGACAAGTTGTACAAGTTAAAATTGATCTTTAAATATACTATTAATTAATTACTCATGTGGTAAAAAGGGATTGATTAGCATACTACTGATGTTAAAAATAAAAATCAAATTGAGAAAGAGTGCCTAAAAAGGTGAATTCTTGATTTTCAATGACGGGAGTAATAATAACTTAGTATTAGCATAAAACAAGGTTTGGCAAGGAATCGATTCGATTTCAAAAGCTTTCATATTTATAATAAATTAACTTATATGTTAAAATTTAGGTTCTAATAAATTAAATTTATTTTAAAAAATGAAATTATTTTTACTCGGTAGAGCCACGCTGAAGCTATATTACAGCAGGAATGGGTCGGCTCGACCTGAAGCTCGTTCTCACTGAATACTAGCGTAAAATAGCAGCTTAACGCTACTGTGTTTCGTATGGTGAATGTAGAGAACCTGAGACCTATTTTACTTGAAACGAGGCATTCTATCTAAGTCCTCAGGGGTGACAACGCATCTGTGTTTTGATTCTTAATCGAGGATAAATGTAGATGTCTATGGGCCACAGCATCCACTTACCATCAGATGGACTGTTTGCTCGGTTGTCAACCTTATTTTTTAAAAAAATAATAAAAAAATTCTTGACTATGATATTGACAAGATCTCGTTTTACAAATTAAAAATCATTATCGGGTGCGACTATTTGGTATGTAATTGGTACTATCTGATATTTTAAAATATGGTACCTCAATGTTGTCAATAATATTGAACAATATACTACTGTTGTCGATTGTCTAGTCAACAATGAAATTTTTATTATGTAATATAAATGTATAATATAATTAGTGATATAAGTTTTCTTAAAGATATAGGCTTATATGGGACAGCATAAGAGCCCTAACTAGAGCTAGAATCTAATCAACTAATTGAATTAATACTAACCTATGTTAAAGACCATAAGTTTGCATAAAAAAATCATTGAGTTCGATCTTGCCGTTTTCATGTCATGTGCATTTAAACAGATTTACATACATAGAAAAATACATAAGGCAAATAGATAATAATTCTCAAGAAAAATGTTTTGGATTTTACTCCACTTAAAATGTAACCCAGCTCAAAATTTTCAAAAAATAAAACTAATGTACGGGCTCAGTCTTCTGTAGTAACAGTTCTATAAAGTACTGCGTTTAGTTATTATTCGTAATGAATGAAAGATTTGTAACAGAAACAGAAACTTTTTTATTCAATATAGATTATAAATGATACTTATTGAAAGTCACTCTTTTGTTTGATTACCACTGGTACGGAAAAAACCTCTGTCCTGGGAAGAACCAGCAAGAAACCCAGCGGGACTTTTTTTTAAATAACAGCTTACAATCATGATGTTACACAAATTAACAACACAACAAATTAGAAATAGCTTGGTAGCGATCACCTCATTTCCAGGGGTTATTATCATCCATAAATTCCTTAATATTATAATAACCCTTTTTATACAAACTTAGTTTAATAAAGTGTTTGAACTTTGAGCAGGTCAAATTTTATACATTTTCTGGAATTTTGTTGTAAAAGCGTATACATCGCCCCAAGAATGAATTACTGACTCGATGGAGTCGAGTAACTGGTACTTCTAGCTTGTGTCTGTTCCTAGTATTTACAGAATGAATAACACTTTTTTTGTAAAATTTTCATAAATGTATTGAGAGGCCAAAGTTAATATATTAATTTCCTTAAATTTTTATCGCAGCGACTCTTTAGGCTTTAAATCATAAATTTCTCATATGGCCCTCTTCTGTAAAGCAAATATAATTTCAGTGCCAGCTGCGTGTCCCCATAGTAAAATACCATACGACATTATACTATGGAAATAGCTAAAGTAAACTAGTCTAGCTGTTTCAACACTTCTAATTTTTTTTACATCATATGCTGCAGAACTAAGTCTGCTTGCTAGTTTTGATATATGGGGGTTCCATTGAAGTTTGCGTCTAGTGTGATTCCAAGAAAAATGGTGGTATCTACAAGACTTTGTTTCTCCCCATTTAAAATTACATTAGTATTTAATTGTTTCACATTTGGAGTCATGAATTTCATACATTACGTTTCAGTGCCATTTAAATGCAAATTATTAACATTGAACCAATTTATTAATTTAGATATAGCATTATTTACTTAATAATTACATAATTTACTAAGACCTATACTCACCTACGGTTCCGAATGTTGAGTGCTGAGCAAAAAAGACGAAAACTTCTTGTTGGTATTTGAGCGGAAAATACTATGACGCATTTTCGGAGCTGTGATGGAAAATGAGAGATGGCGAACACGTTATAACCACGAGCTATACCAAATGTACGATAAGCCAAACGTAATTAAGACCATAAAGATCGGACGCCTGCGTTGGGCAGGGCACGTGTTGCGAATGGACGAGGCCAGAGTACCCATACGCCTTTTAGAAGGCCGACCTAAGGGCCGCAGATATCGAGGCAGGCCGAAGTTCAGATGGTTGGACAGCGTCGAACAAGATATCAAGATCTTGGGAAAACCAAGTTGGAGAAGGAAAACCTCTAACAGATTGGACTGGAGAGCTTTGCTGGACCAGGCTAAGGCCCACTCGCGGCTGTAATGCCTCGGATGATAATGACGATGATGATTATTTACTTCGTAATATTTTAGTGATTGTCGACTTAATTTGAAAATTAAAGAAGTGTCCTAATTTTTTGTATGGAACATTATTTAAGCTTATTTGCAATTAATTTAATAATACTTCTACTTCTAAAACATTCTCCTTGAACAGCCGGAAGTTATTCAATGAATGGGCGACAGAAGGAGTCCATAAGAGCTGATATAGGTTATATGATCTTTACCATGAAAGGTCATATAATCATAGCGTCGAATTTGGGGAATATGTAAAAAAATATTCAAAAATATTTAAAAGAGTGTGCGAAAGTGATGGAAGTTTTTTTACTATGTTACTTCTAAACTTCTCCAAGTGCCGTGCATTTACTGGAACAAACACAACTTTCTCATCTACTTGCTTTTTTGTAAGCATAAGGTAAAGATACCACTTGTCTACAGTGATCAGAACTTACTTTTTGAATTATATATTTATGCAACGGCTTCACGTTTGTAAAAATATTATCTATACATGTTGCACTAGATTGAGCAATACAGGTTGGCTCTAAAAATAAATTAATAAGACCATATGATTTAAACAATTATCTACATTTAATATTGATGGAGGAAGCTTCTAGGAGATTGATATTAAAGTCTCCACATATTAAAACAGATATATTCTGTTTGTTAAGCTTAGCAAAAACTTCCTCCATAATTTTTTCAAAAGTATCGTATATAGAACATGGGGGTCTGTAGACGCTCACAACAATGAGGTGCTCAAACTCAACATATGCCATTTCTACATTTCGCTTAACAGAGAGGCTCACAATATCTTTACGTTCTTAACATGATAATAATTTACTAACTAATATTAAGGAGCCACCTCTTAAAACCGTTTCTCTATTGAAAGAACTGACCACCTGGTGATTACTGAAGTTAAACATTAAGTCATAAGCTTTTAACCAATGTTCAGTAATACATAAAATATGAATATTGTTGCTATTTAAGAACAACTCAATTTCTAGCTCTTTGCCTTGCCTTGTATATTTTGATGCACCAGGTGTAAACGATTTTCATTATCATTCTATGGAGTCATACAATTAAAGATTTGTAAGCTACATTCTTAATTATTTTAATTACTAGAACTGCTAGAGATTACCTCTATTGTCTCATTTTCTAATTTAAACTACTTGGAACTGATTCCAAATTAAATATTAAGTCATTATTCTGCTCAAAAGAAGCAGATGTCTGTGTAGCCAAGTCCTTGGCTGAGTTAATATATAAACAATAAGATAGCACATTTGCTATCTGTCTTAAATTATATTTAGATAGGTAATACCTATCTCTAGTCAAAAATTTCTTAAATAAATTATATATGTCTATTAAATTAATTCTATTATTATAATTTTAACAAATGTCAAGTTTAAATTATTATTACATGAAAAGTTATTCATTAATAAATTTAAATCGTATCTTATTTTATTTTCCTGCGGCAAACGCTGTATATAAGGCAATGTAAACAAGATAATTTCATGTACATTTAAAGTATTTAGATTATCAATATATTTAATAATTGATTTTTGTTTACATTGCCTCTTCTCCCAACTAGAATTATTATTGTGCTATTAGGGCAAAATTTACTAGCTAAAATTTTATTCATTATGTGACTAAAGGATGCTCCAGGTATGCAATAATTACTGATCAGATGCCTTTTTAAACAGTTATTTAACGTCATGCCCAAATTTTTGCCTAGGTCATCCAATACATAAGAACTTTATTTTTCTTAATATTTACATTGCTTTTTAGGTTTATATATTTTGTCATGGCACTGTCATAGAGTGGAGGTGAAAAGAATGAGTCCTTACTGTTTACATTATTATTTACACATATTGTCCCCGATGAACCTGGTATGGAGCGCTGGTACTTACTCTGATGATTTATTAAGGAGTCAAAGCGCTCCTCATTATATTTACATGATTTTACCAGATCAGTTATGGCCAATATGTGTTCTGTTATCTCATCTTGAGCTGATGCATATTTATTTGATACAAGTTGTAGGGAGTTTTTAAGTGATAAAATTGTTGAATTTAGACACTTTATCAATCTCATAACAGTGATTCATATTTTCCAACTCAATTGAATATATTTTAAGTTTATTAATTAGTTATTGCTTTTCTTTGCATACTTTTATATAATTTTTAACATTAATTTTAGTTTTAATTAATTTTTGAAGTTTTCTAATATATTTATTAATTTTTATATATTTCTTAAATTTTCTTCTACTGCAAGTAGTCCTTGCTGCTGTTCTTGATGCATAATTATCACCAGTCAAATCGATTGTTATGGAGGGTTGCAATGCCTTCGATGATTCACGTTCTATGAGCGCATTGAACACACTTTGAGTTTGGGTCGCTTTCATGTTATCTATGTCATTTTTAATTGCACAATCTGCTCATTAGCCTCACTTAACTGTAACGGCAATGCAGCAATTAATCTGAGGGGTTCCTCATATTCCTTGTTGCATTGGTCAAACTCATCGACTGTTCTCTGAAGTTGATCCCTTTCTTTTAAAACAAATGTATATTCTTTATGCAGCTTAACCATGTCACTTTTAAGCTCAGTATTTTTAGCAATTATATTTATTATTTCCTTTTCATTGTCATCCTTTTCTTTACATAATAGCTCACACTGTTCCCTTGACTCCTTAAGTTCTTGAAGCGCCATTTGAAGCTGGTCCTCTAACTGGCGCGTTTTGGCGTTGCGTGTATTCATTTTACTATTAAGTGTAAATAGCAAAAGAAAACAAAGAAAGAAAACCAAAGAAGCAGAGTAAGCAAATGTCTAGATGTATGGGCTTATTTACAGATCTCAAATTAAATTATCATGTAAACAATTCAAAATGAAATCCAGAACAACACTTACTCTAGGTAAATATTAAAATGTTAAAGGGATAACAAAAATTACACTTCAATAAGTTTAAGCGATGTTCGTTACAGCTGTTACTTTTGATTGGAACATTTAACACAATGTAATTAAAATAGGTACTTCTGACTTTTACTTATTTCACAAATACAAATAAGTCGTGTTTAACAACTGTAACTCAAAATTGAGGTGGATATTATCAATTTACAATATTTAATTTTTAAAAATAGTTGGGAGCAATTATTTTACAACTTGTCACCGGGGTTGCCACAGAAAAAAAATGTTCATTATGAACAACCAAACAACCTCCTTATACTCGTAGAAGGTACTGAAAATTATGCGTAAGTTAAAGTGAAGGACGACTGCCTGGTGGCAAAGCGCCAATAACAGATATTAGGCTGACCGAAATTTGAAACCGAGACCACATGATCAGTATTCCCGTTTTCAACCACTATACCAACGTTGAACTCAAAAGATATTAATATCTTGTCGATTTAAATATGAAGACGTGACGTGTGTTACCCACATCCATATAATAAACCCTTTTGAATAAGTTAGAACGCCTCCTCAACAAATGTATAAGATTCATTTATGGCCTATGTAAGTATGATTATCTACATTTCCTATTAACATACCGAGCTTAAATGCTTTTGTCAGAGACGCAGCTCCGGAATTCAACTGGTACTATATTCGATTTCAAATGATCTAAATTCTACTTCTAATATCTAAATAATAACTTTCAACACTTATCTTTATTCTACTTTTAATCGAGTACTTCGTTCCCAAAACAGTCTTAAAATCCGTAGGTATTTCACAACATAACAGTGATATCTACAATTATTTTTTATTGTACAGCCCATACTGCTTTAGAGCGCCGTTTATGTTTATATTAAAACCAACTGTATAAGAACCATTTAAAAAAAAAAACTACCTAGTTGGAGAAAAAATATAGAAAAAGGAAACTTCGTCCGATTGATCCGAGTTTTCGTTTTCTCTCTCACAGTTATGTTATGTACGTATTGTACCTATTATATATCCTTAAGTATGCAATAAAGAGAAACTGAAACAGGAAGGCATGAGCATCATCCTCATACCGTTACAGCTTATAAAAAGGTCACTGCTGATCCAAGGCCTCCCTAAAAGTTTGTTTAACAGGGGGAAATTGCCATAGTTGAATCGTATTTTTAGTGTATGAAGACGCTGCTGCCCATCTCCTGGTTTGTTTTCCTACCGTCGCCTCATTCGATACCCCCGGTAGTGGACATTATTACACTGCTACTACACAGTCATCTTCCCCACAAAAAACATATTCATAATGAAAAGAACTGCGCTTGCCAACTCACTTTAACGGTGGTAGAGCCACGCGGCAGCACGTATGGACCAGCTCGAGCCGGGTTGGTACCACGACCTCAGAGAATACCATGCATGAAGGGGAAGCTCTGCTTCTGCGTTTCGTCTGGTGAGTGCAGGTGGCTGGAGGCCCAAACCCCTCCCTCCCCCATCAACATGTTAGCGGAATTAAATGAAATACTACCCAGGAGGGTACCAGCACCCCTGGAGAAACTCTCGCTGAGCATCCATGACCAAGCGGGGGGTGGGAGGGGAAGGAGGGCAAAATTCCGCTCAAAACAATAACTCCTCGGGGAAAATTGAGCAACAAGACCAAGGCGAACCCTGCCACGCTATCCGTGGATTTCTGCAATATCAGGGGGCTTCACTCGAAACTACACAGCGTCCCCTACCATGTTGAGACGGCGAAGCCGGCCTTGCTCTTTCTAAATGAAACGCAGGTGTCCTCTCCGGCTGATACTCTTTAGTGCCTCTGGCTGAAGTTTATGTATACGTCAGAGATGACATCTGTTCTCGATGCCTTTGCAGTCTTGAAGGTTTGGACCTGTCCATTCTTTGGCTACGCGTAGACAGCGACACCCATCCGCGCGTTTACGGGTGCCTCTATAGGTTCCATAGCGGTAATGCCGAAACAGACTGACTCATCGACCGCGTCCAAATGGCTACAGAATCCTTGCTACAACAGGTCCCATCCGCAGAGATCGTAATCCTTGGTGATTTGAACGCCCACGACGCCGA